GCCATAGATAAACCATAATCAGTTCTCTCAGCTACCTTGCAACAATACTCTCAACCAACATGACTCATATGCAGACAGGCCAGGATGTTGCATGAAATAGAAATAATATATATATTTTTTTCATTTCAGAACAGCCTTACTTGAAATGTATTGTTCTCAGATGTTTTGGCAGAACAAAATGCAGAATCATTTGAATTTCTGTGTTTCATATGGAAGAAAACTCAAAAACAAAAAAAATTGAATTGTCATAGGTGAACAATGGGTAAACAAAGTTCCTCTTGTTTTTCACCCTAACAGTAAAATATAGGTGGGCTGGTCTCATGCTGTCAATTCCTTACCTATCGACCTATAGAAAAATTGGCCAGGGATATTTTTTGATTTTTTAACACATTTAAAAAATCCTCATAGAAAATAATAGAAACACACTTAAACCATGTTTTTGTATTAGCCTTGCAATGAGCCCAGCAAACAGCAAAATATAGCATGATTCATTTCAATACAACCCATGAGCAATGACAACCAGAAATACGCTGTGTTGACTTGAAGTTCCTCTTTTATTCTAATGCTGAAACATGGCACAACAATATTTCACACATTAAAGAAATACAGTGTTTGCATGCAACTTGAAAATTCATTATCAGCAAGAATATGCACATGCACATAAAAATTCAGCAAAATCAACATAGTATTTACATCTTTGCATCTAAGAATTGAAAAACCTAACCAGCAATAATGCTCATAGTGTACAGCACATTCTTTCCTTAAATCCATAACATGCAACATATAAAGTTTAACTGTATTTAACACAGTATCAATAAACTACAACTCAAAGCTGTCTTTGCCCATTCTTGTATTGGAATTTAGCCATCTCAGATGGACTTTGAATGCAAATGGAATAACCTGTTTGATCTAGGCAAGTAACTAGGACCTAGCAGTAAGTACTAGCTCTGAGCAAGTGCTGAATAATTTCTACCTCTCCATCACCACCCCATTCCCTTCTCACCTAGTCTTGGGCAGTAAGAATAGGAATGGAAAAGGTCTAATTTACTGGTTACACAGGACTTTTTTTAAAACAAACAAACCTCAACTTGCAGAAGTGTAAGTCATTCATAGGATTTAAGACTCTTGCAGGCATCTGAAACAGGGCCATACAAACAATGGTGTTTTGTCTGAAGTCTAGGATGAAACCAGAATTTTGTTCTGATGTTTGAGAACATGCTCAGAACAGGGATGATTTGTCCTCAGTTCAGAATACTCAAAAAAGTTATTGAGAACTCGTTCTTTTTCATGCTTGGAAAATTTTGCCAATCCATATGATATACAAATTTAAATGAGCTAACCAATTCAGGTATTTTGTTTTGTACTATTTATTCCACTGTGGCAACTGATTCAACATATATTTGGCTCAAATATTCACACTCTCAGTATGGACTATTGGGGGGTGTGGTATGTTTTTCAGACATCTCTCCCTACAACTCTGCTAGCCTACTTTTGCTCTCCTCAGCTAATCAACCACATATGTTTTATTTCTCAAATTTCCACTGGGTGCATTAGTATTTATATAGAGAAGATAAAGATGGATGGGTAATCTGTGTAATATTCAATGTATATGTTCTTTCCAGGCAGCGTTTAATCTGAATCCAGACTCTCTTTACTTTAATGATGGCCAAAGAAAAGTTGACTTTGTCTTAGTTTATGAAGATGAAAGCCAAAAGGAAAGTCATAAGACTGTTCATAGAAAGCAAAAGGTATGAATTGTTTTCTCTTTTATGCTGCTGTTGATAACGTCTTTAATATTTACAACACTTTCCTTTAACCCTTTTTTTAGTTTTTTATGTATAGGGTTTGTTTTATATAGCCTGACTTTTTAATTAATTAATGTGAGTATTTATTTTTTAACTGTTTTTGGGTTTTACTCTAATTGTGAGCCACCCAGAATCACCCGTTGGGGGAGATGGGTGGTGTACAAATTTAATAAACAAACAAACAAGCAAACAAATTTTGATAGGTTCCCCTTAGATTCTGATAATTTCTAAAAGGATTCCTTTTTTGTCTGTCCCAACTTCACCAAGATGAATAAGATTTAATAACTACTATATAACTTCAGACAAGGGGAGAGTTGATCTGCAACAATTCAGTGTTCCCTGTCTTATCTTCCATGCATCACTTGATATAGTTTTCTTGGGACTGTAACATGTCAGAATGCATGTTCGAATCTCTAACAGATTAAAAAAAGAGAACAAAATCAAACAACCCTGAATACACATAGGCAGGACAATGGTATTTCTCCTAATTTCTACTTTTTTAAAACAAGCAATAAATATGTATATTTAAAACAACAACAACAACAATGGACAATAAAGAACAAAAACAGAAGCAAAGCAGTGAAGCAAAATACACACATTTTACAGTAATATGTAAAAGTTACTTAAACAACTTAAACTTTGCCCTAAAGGAATCATATTTCTAACTTTCCATGGGCAGGAAGCCTTTGGCATGACGCAGGCAGTTCAGCCATGTGTTTTTCCATTCAGATTCAGAATAATGAAAATTTTACGTGATTCTTTCTGAACATGAGTTAGTCATTATAAAACTAAAATAAGGAAATAAAAAGGCTTAAATATCACTGTCCTATAGGAGTCAGCTGCATCAGCATTTATACTCTGAACAGCATCCTATTTTGCATTACTATCGTGTAGTCGGTATGGATTATAAGCACTAAAAACTAACCTTTGGTGTTAGTTTTTATTTTAGATTGTAAGTTTGTGCCCTAAGAGGCTGTAAAACATTTGTGAGGCAAGCATTCACTAGAGCAAGGTTCAGACAAAGGGAAAAGCTTTCCCTAATCAATTTTTCTTTGCCACAATGCTGTTAAAAGCACAAGAGGAATAATTAGGAAAGGAGCTGATCTAGAAGTTTTATGGTATTGAAAAATATTGCATGTTTTATGTATCGTGGAATCTGATTAGGCTCTAATCAATGGTTGTTTTTTGATGACTGGAAAGGCAGTTCTTAATTCAACTTTTGGGAAGTTCCACCAGTTTTAATAACTATATACAGCTATTGTATAGTTTCATGATTTTTTTATTTTTTTCAAAGAAAGGAACGATATAAATATTGCATTACCACATTGTGGAATTTAGATAATTTTATATATGCAGGCTTTTTATTTTTAGTAATCTGACTTGTTTGTGGCTAAAATGCTAAATTTATATATGTATTTATTCATTTATTGGCTTTATATGCTGCTGAATTATACAGAGTCATGGCACGTTACGTAAGATCCAAAATTACAAGAAGCAAAAAAATCATTTAAAAGTCTCAGTTAATAACAATTAAAACATCCACAGTATTAACAACTAAAATGTCCACAGTAAAGATACAACTAAAACATTTATGGTAGAGTAATAATGAACATCCATAGGAACAATAAACAATACAACATCCATGATACAATAATTCATGTGAATAGATCACATCAAAATATAATTATATCTTAATTACCTCAAACAGCAGCCCTACAAATAAGTGACAGTCATCCATCAAAGCCTGTCCGAAATAGTATAGTGCTAGCAGTGTTTTGGAAGACCTGCAAAAGGTAGCCCAATCTAAATTCTAGATAATCAAGTTTTATGTTTTAAATGAAGCAGTATTAAGCCATTATAAGACATCTTAAACTATAAATGTTGTATCTGTTTTATTCCTAAAGAGTTGCATTCTCTAATTTCATATTTTGAAATAAGTACAGTCATATGGAAACATAGTCATTGTCACATGGATGCAAGCATGAATTAAGTTGCTGTAATCCTTCAATTGAGCAAATTCGCAGTGACCTCTTAAATCAGGCCACATCTATTCCTGGCAAACAAAAAGCACAATGAAAATAAACATTGTAGTATTTTTTTCACTACTAATATTATTTTGTAAAATTACAATTAATTCTTTTAGCATAGGAACTATCTACAAAAAATCATGTCACTTTATTAACTGGATTTTTCAATCAACAACTAAGTAATTTGGCTGCAGACCTCTTTAGTACAATCCATAATATACTTTTATATCCAAACCAGCAAAATATGATTGCTGGAAGGAGAAAGAGAAGTGAGTGTCCATATTTTCAGTGATGGCAGGAGCAGGAGGAACATCTGAAGGAAGAGAAGCAACTACTGAAGAATCAGCATCAGTTGAATCCCACCATTGAATTCTACTACAGAGAGACTGACATTTGATGGCTCTCCTATCCTTTAAATTTTGATGCAAGTTTAGGAGAATAGCCATGGCTGCCACACTATGATATAATATGCCTGGGAAGAGATTGCTGCTGTTACTCAGTCTCTAATGTGACATGGAAAATGAAGAACAGAAAAGCTTTTGAGATATTTAAGTAAAGTAGGTGCTGGATAGAAATCAACAGTTGTGCTTTTCACAACTGTCTTCCTAGATTAGATCGTACACACAGCCAAAATTTTAGCAACTGCAGAAACCATCAGCCTCTAGAATCAGATGGGGCATCAAGAGTGGCACCTAGGTCTTTTGAGATGAATATAAGTGGCAATGTGTTGTTTACTCCTGGGTTAACTCTTTATGATTCCTCTGACATTCTGTTCCAGAACAGTATGGAATACTGTTAATAGTATGAAATAGGGATGGCCTATTTTCCATGACCCAAAACCTCTTTGCAAGATGACTGGATTAAAAACACTTTCAGCCACTTTTACTCTGGGGACAGAAACTGCAGTCTAAATCCCTGAACTATGCTTATTTTTTCCATAATATCAAATCCCTTTTAAGATCCCTCCTGCTCCTGCCATCAAAACCAACTCTAATGTGTGACCAAATGAAAATACAAGCAGGGAAGAAAGAGTTATATGACAGTGATGTGGTTTTAAGATGTATTACAGCCCTTACCATCAGCACAGGAAGAAAAACAAAAGGTTGAATTTATATATAATGCCAAGGCCTTCCTCTTGTGGTTCTTCATTCCATTCTTCTCTCTTTACATGCTCAGCTTAATTGGGCTTCTGCTTCTGCTTCTTCCTCCTCCACTTCTGTTGCTGCTGCTGGTGCTCTTCCTTCTTCTGCTATTTTATCTTTGAAATGAGAAACATGGTTTCTTCTTGTCCTACAAGTCAAAATTTCAAACCAACTTTATTGGAATCCTGGTTTGGAAGGTAATTAAAACAAATGTTGACTGTCATTAACACAACTGCAAACTATGGTTTGCTATAAATTCCATAAGAGCTAATGAAAGAGAGATGCAAGTGAAGAAAAAAGGGAAGTCCTTTTATAGCGCCAAATCATGATTATGATCTTATTCAAAATCATGTACAATGGCTGTAGCAAAAGTTCCAGTTTAACAGAAGAATCTAATTTTGTAATTAAATCAATTTTATTGACTACTTTTACTAAATAAATCTAGTAAAATTTTCAAATTTTATTTAATTTCTTGGACAAACAGAAAAATAGTTTGAACAGGGTTTCTTTAAAAAGCAGGGGTAAAATTCTAAATACAGTCAAGTTAATCATGCTAGATAGGAATGCTGGGAGATGAACTTTAGTAAGATGGAAGAGAGGGCGTGATTACCTACGTCTGCATTAATTGCTGAAGGCTAAATTCTAAATTTTGTTTCAGTGATAAGTAAAATTAGTTGAAACAATCTTTTATTATTTTTGTAAAAAATGTTTTCAGCTTTCATGAAAAGCATGAATCATAAAGAAGTTTCACAATTTTTAACCAATTTTAACAGAGGAAGAGACAAGTCTATGAGTCAAACTTGATAAGCCGTGGTTTGCAGCTTGAAGCAACAAAGTCGGTGAGTGTAGTCCATTGCTCTTTAAAAAAAAATACGTATTGCTGTATTAAAAAGAAATAAATTGAATTCGTGCAGAAGTGGTTATGATCTATTTATTAAATAGATTTATATATGAAAATATATTTTTTGTATTTATATGTTTTGTATATTCATATGATCTGTGAATTGCTTTTTTATCATTTGGAGGGGGGATAAGCAAATAGGATTAAATAAATAAATGATAGCAAAACAAATCCATTACTTTAAAGTGCCTTCCTCCTGCTCCCAGGTTTGGTGTATATATTTATGATTAGTAAAGTCAGAACACTTGGATTTATGTCACACCTCTCAGTGAAATAAAAGGAAAACCCCAGCTTATGCAAGAGCTCTTTGTGCATACTTAACACACTATAGATGTGAGTTTATTTCCCTATTGCTAGTTATTTATCTGAAGTATTGTACCCTAACAATACCTTGGATATTTATGTGGTCATGTGGAAGGAGAAGGACTGCCTTGGCAGAAAAAGAAACACCTTGTAGGCTCTGTTTTCCCTGTTGTTTTCAAAGGACCATTCTTGCTTTTGCTAATGGAGTGTGTGTGGATAAAAGCAGGGCTTTATAGCCCAGCTCTGTGTGTGTGTGTGTGTGTAACCCAGAGAGAGCCAAGGGAGCTTTTCTTACAGATGGCTGAGGCAAGCAAGTGAAAGAAATGCTACTTATTTTAAGCCAGTGTTTCTCAACCTTGACAACTTTAAGATGTGTGGACTTCAACTCCCAGAATCCCCCAGCCAATATCTGTGAGAGATTAAGGGAAAAAGAAAGATTCACTGGAACGCAATCAGTTTTCTATCACTAGAACTTGGCCTCTTGATTGGTGGTTCCGGGATTTTTTCTTTTTAAATTAACAGGTTTCACAGCCTGAAAAAGTTTGAATACAGAGTGATAGAGACTGCCAGTTGTTAAACAGGCTGAGACTGGGAGGGTGGACTTTCTGGAAGAAGGTGGTGTGAGGCAGAGAGCAATCTAGGCTCTGGAGGCCAAGTAGCCTCTGGAGGCATTTAGCAACTCAAAGGCAAACCCTTGTAATTGATAAAGAGACTCCCATAGAAGACCAAGTCAGGAGAGGAAGCATAGTCCTAGACACATTAGAGGTTAGGTTGGAGAGAGAATTATGCTACCTCCTGCAACTAAACTGCCAAAAAACTACCCAGTTCATAGGACTTGTCTCCCTATTTGCTTGGGCTGTCAAACCTATCACAGTTCATCTGTCTTTTGCATTGTTTTTCTGTTAAAAGTTTATTCAGTGTCTGAACTAGCTAGACTACTGAGGGGTTGTGCACACTTCAAATATGATTCCAAAGAACTTTGGACCTCAAGCAAATGCAGTCTTTCTTTGCTATTCATTAAAACAGCTTTTGATTTTTCGGCCTTCTGGAAAGGGTCTGCTTTAATGAACTGCAGAGAGATACCATGCTTGCACAAGATCCAAAGATCTTCTTCTGCATCATTTTTTAAGCAAATGCAGCCCAAGTGACTGTATTATTACAAGAAAGGAACAGATTCAGTTTCTATAAACTCTGATTAAAATTGTACATAAATGGCAGTCATCGTACTTTTAGACACCTGCCCATACGTATGGCTGAAATGAAGTAAGTTAAACAAAATGCTCCTTTTCAAATTCACAATTTACAGCATTTCTTCTTATTCCCAGATATATTGTAGGCTATTAAAATCAGCTTCATATATTATTTGAAGCTCAGATTATCACTGGCAAGCAGTAAAATTAAGAGCAAGCAAAGGCTTATACTCAAGTTGGTAATATTTATGATTATGAATCAGTTTTATGCTGGTTTCATCAACTGGAAATGTTCATCAATTGAAACATTTTCAGAATGGCAATCATGCTCACAGAATAAATTTACAATCACAACTAGTAATATTGTGCTATTTATACAACTTTGCTTGTAATGTGTTTTGCACATATTTTGATTAAAGGAGTTGTGTCCCTTTAACATATGAAATCTCCCATGAAATCTTAACCACGTATGCAGTATCTAGTGTATATATGTCTTGTCCACAGATTGGGAACAATGATCATAGTGTTATCAAATTGAATTTATTTGAATGTAGACAATTTCCAAGGAAGTATACATACTATTTTTGACTTCAAAAGTAGAAAGGAATTAGTAAAAAAGAAATTGAAAATGAAAGTCAAAAAGGTTATCTCTTTGGACTGTTTAGAAATTACTCAATTCCATAATAACATATATGTGGGATGTTAGGATTGTGGTGCATACCTTGATGAATACATCATTCTAGAGCTGCATTGCTGCTGAAAAAAAATGTCATGAGTTGGAACCACATTCCCATTTGGAATCTCAGATACAGTTCTGATCACCACACCCAGTAAAGGAAATTGTACAGTTAGAAAAGGGCAAACACTTAAAAGGGGTTTGTTTGGAAAGGTTATAAAAATATGCTCTTATATTAGGAAAAATGGTGACTAAAGAAGAAACTGCATGTACTTTATTTAATTTCATTGGGTGACTCTAGCTTTAAAGTTATGAGAGGGGAGGTTTGAAACTTCTGATCACCAGTTATTGGGAAGCCTGATTAGGAAGTCTGATTAGGAAACTACCATTGAACTCATGTCCTGCTTAAGGACTTCCCACCGGCATCTGCTTGGCTGTTATGGTATGAGAATGATATGTTAAACCAGACAGTCCATTGCTTTTAATTTGCAGGTGACATGTTTGTAAACTGAATTTCTACAACATGACTTTCATATCCATCACTAAGTGGTAGAATTTCAATTAAGGTTTGAGAAAAAAGCTTTTATGTTTTAGTCATGGGGAGGAAAATAGAAGAGGTGATTTCAAGTCAGGATTAGTCTCTGGCACTTCTTTTCTCAACAATTAAGTGTCACTTCTTTAGTGGTGCTCCAATTTCTATCAGTGCAGCTTATGAAATAGCAGTACTCAGCTAAATGTCTTAAGTATCATTTGACCAGATCGTTCAGTGGTTCCAAAGAGTTGTTAAGATTATTCTTGAGATGTTGTATTTTTTAAATCAATATATTATAATTTATTGATATCATTTTACTGCAGGTCATGGATGAAAAGGTGATCTTTGTAAAGGTGCATGCACCTTGGGAAGTGCTATGTAGATATGCTGAAATTATGCACATCAAATTGCCTTTGCAACCCAATGATCTGAAAAGCCATGACTCAGCATTTACATGGATTAGTAGATTCTTTAGTGTGGATGAAAATATCATCAAACCAGAACAGGAGTTTTTTACTGCTCCATTTGAAAATGAACGTATTTCAGACTTTTATATTCAGGACAAGGACTCGTTCTTCAATTCAGCAACTAGGAGCCGAATAGTAAGTTGTAGAAATTTATTAAAGGATGTATTTTTAAGTGCAAAGTTAGACTAACATTGATTTTGTTGTTCATCAAAAGAGTGAAACAATGTGTAAAAAATGCTAAACTTTAATCAGATGTTAAGGAAATATCAAATGTTGGGAAAATTAAGTTGGAGAAGAATCAAAACTCAGTAGTAGAAAGCGTAACTTGAATAAAAGAGGTTCTCAGTTCAGTCCATAACATCTCCAGATGGAGCTGAGCAAGACTCCTCTCTGAAACTGATAGACAAACTGATGTCAGCAAACTTAGATAATACTGAGCTAGATGTACCAAGAGCATTCTCAGAGGGCCGCTTCCTATATGACGCTGTCAAAGCGACCAGTTTTGATTCCCATAATTTGTTTTGAGTTATGCCACATACATATGAACACAAGCAAATTATAATGTGCTGACCATGACTTTTCCACAGACTTTATTACGCAGAAGAGCTAATTTTCAAAGCTGTTGATGTGAAAGTACTCTGAAAAACCAGAAAAATCATACATGTGCCAACGCTTATGGTCCATTGGCCTGCAAGACATGCCAGAGATCATAGAGTCATTATAGATGTTGCAGCCCACATGAAACCAGAATATACAGGACCCTATGCTATAAAAACTGTATTTTTTGAAAAGTCAAGCATTTGTTGACATGGACTGTGGAGAGTCAAGGCACAAATTAAAAAAAAAAAATGTATTGAGCTACTAACCTCTGACTGAAGGCCTTTCCTTACTGCTGAGCTGAAGCGCTATATTAGCACTTAGAGTTAGCAGAAAAGTGATTGCTATTTTGCCACTGATGCAAGCCACTGCTATCACCTGAATTGCACCCAAGGCAATGGGTGACAAAACCTTATTTTTTTTTACTCCTTGACGCTGCCTTTGGACAGTGTCAGAATAAATGGGAAAATACTACTTTAACA